GACATGATGAATCAACCCATTTACAATTCTACTGTGCTTGAACGAGAAATGTCCCCCCTTTGGGAATGGCCTAAAGACACTACAGTTAGGGGCACTGTTAATTTTATGTCAACCAAAGCAAGCAAGCTAAATTCTCAAATATAGTCGAACCTGCTTTAACAGTCACCTGAGCAAGACAATAATTACCTGTACAAATGACCAATTACCATTTCTCCCTTACATAAAAAACAAACAAACATAAAGGCACTCTACTGTTCTCCTCGAGACAATGGGTGGCCATCTTGGACAATTTCAACTATATGGGTGTTTGGCCGGTGCTCTGGTGTGGTTTGCTTCTTCTTTCCTACCAAACATCTGTTGCCTTTATCTCCCCTCCTTCTTTTTTGTGTTTGTAGCTCTCTTGTAACACTCCTAATCTTTAGCACTTAAATGACCTTCATTGTGTAGCAAGTGCTGTAAAACACTTACTAGAACAAATGCGAATCAACCTTAGCTCTTTTGAGAGCGAGGTAAAAAGCTTAAACAATACGAGCGAGTGTAGAACGAAGAAAGAAAAAAAAAGGCACCCATGCCACATATGCTGTGGTCAATGTTCTGTCTCAACTGCATGCATCTGCCACAGCCTAAGAGGTTTACGAGTTCAGAATTCAGTTTAATCTATTTCATCACGCTGCTATCAGAGTTATACCCGTGACTCTGTCAATTATGCCACAGTGATTTTAAAAAAAATACTCATTGAAATGGCACATTCCCAGGGGAATTAAACAAAATGTGGCTGGTAGACCGTGTGTTAACCAAAAATATTAATAAGTCAAATTGCATGAATTCAGTAATAAGTCGTGTGACTCAAAAAGAAGTAATGCTTTCTTTCTACGGATAAGTACCACGTCAAATAGAGAAACAGATACAGCGACATCAACCCCCCGTATCTCTTTATCAGGTCAGTCAGCACATTCATCACATTCATTTTTCACACCTTTGAAAACCTTTTTTTTTAAGGCTGTTCAACAATGTTACAAGACTACCAACGTATCACCCTACACAGACTCAAGGGCAACAAAGCTAGAGGGCAACCTAGAGAGACCTGGATAGATGGAGCATGGCAAACATTGGCATCTCACAGCATCCCCTTGACGTAAGCTTTCCAGCTGGCAATAAAAAGGACTTTTTTTTTCATGACACCAATAAAGGTATAAATGGAGGATAAAAGTAAGTAAACTAAGAGAAAAAATAAATAAATTAAAAAAATATATATATAAAACAGTAAGTATGCTTACCAAAACATTCTGATAAGCATGCACTCCTTCCTGCAATACAGATAGATAAAATAAAATTTTTTAGATGCTACAAAGTAGAAGGAAAAAGATTCAAAACTAACTTGTGAAAGAGATTTTAAGTTTTCAACAGGACTAACACTTACAAAATGACAAAAATGATATGTGTATAACAATTCTAAACTATTGACTAGAGATCAGGTCAGCACTTCACTTCTTTGCTTCAGCAAAAAAATATATTTCAAACCACTAAATAAAATAAAAAAATTTCTTTCAGCAATGTAAGACAACACCCTGAAATACAGTCCAACCTGCTCTAAAGGTCACCTGTATAAGACAATCACCTGTATAAGACAATCACCTGTACAAAAGGCCACTTCCCATTTAATCCCTTGAATAATTTCTACTTTATACTGACACTGTTTAAGACAGCCACCTGTCTAATACAGCCACCTCTCTAATACAGCCACTTTTCTCCTCGGAAATGGTTGGGCATCTTAGACAGTTCGGACTATACTTTTACATATAATATCATCAAAGCCTTTCTCACCCTGGATCAGGTTATAGGCCACGAACAAACACTTTCCATTTTTCCCTATCCTGAGCTAGCCTCTCGATGTTATTCCATGTCTTCCCACTTTTCTGTACATCAATTCCTGTGACTCTTCTCCAGGTTTCACATGGTCTCCCCCTTAATCTTTTACCCTGTGGGTACATTTAATGTCTCAGAACCCAAATGATCTTTGTAAATGTTCTAGGGGACCGCTCACCATCATTTGAGCCTCGATCTGGGAGGCGTTGAGGTATCCCTCGCTGGTGGAAGCTTTGAGTCCCTGCTCTGCCGCCTCCACTTTGAGCCAGTACTTGGACGGATGTTCATACTCCACCTCCGCAGCTGTGGACAGGGAAAGGTAACTCACAATGACGGCGGTACACTCGAGAACTACCAAGCAGGCCATATCAGACACAAAAAAGTTAAGAGAGCAGAAAAGGTGCAGTCAGCCTAAATACAGCAGGACAAACGTTTTCAGACCACAAATCAACATTTTGACCACATACACATAACAAATTTCTTATTATTTTAATTAGTAGAGGGTTTTACGGTGCTCGCAACTGCATAAGGTCATATGAGCGCCAAGGGGTGGGTGTCAACAGAGGAGTCCTTACAGGGAATCAGACTTACTCTGCTCCCCTCTTTAGCTTCAACAGCACAAAGTCTGCTTCGACTATCAAGGCACCCCAGAAATAGTGGGTCACAAGAGTGCGACAAACATACAAAAGAAGTAGAGGAAAAATGACGATAGTAAGGATAAGGGAAAAAAAAGCAGCAGTACCCTGTTGTAGATCAGGCACAGTTATGAGCGTGACATTGATGAATTAGTCCATTTACAACTCTACTGTACTTGAACGAGAAATGTCCCCCCTTTGGGAATGGCTTAAAGACACTTATCCGGGGGGTACAAATTTCTTAAGGATCAAATGTGAAGCATCATTGACAAAGAACGGCTTATGTATTGACAAGGAGAAAAAAAAAAAGAGAAGAATCACATAAAGAAAACCTCTTTCCATATGCTTTCAACTGGCTATTAAGCCCTTCAATGCCACAGGTAAACAGGCCCCTGGGCCATGGGAAATCCCATGAACAAAGGCCGCTCAGGGGTGACCCACTCTACCTCCAATAACTTTTTTATTTATGAATATTTTCTCATGAATTTCTGTTTGTGCATTCTACATTGAACCATATTTCTATTGATATCATTTTGGGGGGATTTCATTTATCTAGAGATAGATGGAGAAAAGTTGGGAGTTAGTAACATGATGCCAAAAATAAAAACACCAAACATAAAACAACACACATTCAAGTAATGATACACTGAGATAAAAAAAGGGGAATACATGTTGTGCGAGTGTCTGTAGGTAAAGAGTTAGTGGCAAGAGACTTTTCCTACCTTATTCAACGCTCGTACAATCGATATAGATCTATATACATGTAAGCCCATCTGTTTTACAGCCAATAAATCATTTTTGCGCGGTAGATGTGTTAGATCTAGATCTAATCTTCTCTTTGAGCTAAAATCTGAATCTGACGCTTTCAAATGGGGGAGAAATGGTGGTAAACATAAAGGGAAGGTACCTCAATAATAATAACAAGATTTTAGCAGTAACTTCCCTTATAATTGGTATCAAAACAACCTCTGTCACAGTCCCGTAAATTCTATGGGCCATAGGCACAGGGCTACACAGTTCAGGCTTGTAAATTCTTCGGGCGCGGCAGCGAAGAGGTTAAAAATCCCAAATTTCAATTTGCATTCATGTCCAATTAAGTTTACAAAAACAATTACAGACAGCAGTCACACAAAAGTGACAATACATCAAATGTAAGTGTGCCTAAAGAAAGGTACCAAAAATTGGATTTTGACCATTTTGAGATAAGGGTTGTACCTTATAGGAAATGCAATGCTCAACACAGGGTTTAAAATTTTTAAAAAAATATCACAAGTAGTTTTTGAGATATTGCACATTTTGCAAGGTAGGGTATAAAAATATAATTTTGAGAAAATGACCTTTTAAGTTTAACGAACATGAAAACACATACAAACTTTTAAAAAACGATTTTTAAAAATGTATTAATTCATGGAAAATTCATTTCCAATTTGGCATTAAGTTGACATCGATATCATGAATGGAATTCAGAGGTAAAAAATTGCAGGGAAGAGAAAACGTGCTTCAACAATAGTTTTTTAACACCTTTTAAAAGCAGTTTTCATTAATTTTTTTTTTTTTATTATACCCTTCCCTCCAAATAATTCAAAATAAAACATTTAGAAGTCAAATCAATGAAAACCCTTTTGAGCACATTATAAAAAAATGTTGGATTTTTTTGTCATTATCAGCCTGCAGCTCAAAATGGTCTGGGGCGACTTTTGGTACCTTTCTCTGTGCGCAATCACAAATTATCAAGAAGTTCCCAAACTTGTATAAGTAAATAAAAACATTACTGCTTAAGATCAGCAAAACTTGAGGGTTTTTTTCCCTTTTTGTTACGAAGGAATGGAGAGCTGGGAACCAATCAGTTTATCAAATGCTGTCATCATTTCAATGTCTTTTTTTTGTACTTTTAAGGGTTCCAAACTTGTGTATCTGCATGAAATATTCATTTTCAAACATTTGACTGGGACAAAAGCAGCCTTAAAATTTATTTCCAGTCCTCAAATGGGCAAGCCAAAATGCAACAAAAGTAAAGCTTCGGTATTGAACATTATCATTCTTCAACAAATAAACTTGTCAAAATCAGCTATCACAATAGTCACTCTCAGTTCGTTGAAAAAAAAAAAGTCTTCTTTTTTTCAGTTCTACATTTTGTCCCATTAAATACAAAGGACATCCTCCAACTGTCCAGAACTATCGCAAGACTCACCCCCACAAAGAAACATCATGACAGCCGCTGTGGTCTTGGAGCAGACTTCTGAAGAAGTGAAAAGTGAGTTTAATTTTAGAAAGAGTTTTAAGGCATTTGCAAGACAATTAGGTCATACAGGTGTCAAAAGATTAGATATATTACATAAAAAGGAGGAGAGATAAGGACGATACATGGCTAGAAACAACACAATCATCCTACTGTTACCAATGTTGTCATAACACACACACTCCCCCTCTCCTTCTATTCTCTCTTTTTTTTTCATCTGTTTTCTCTCTCTCCTTCTACAAGGGGATAGGAAGCAAATCTGGAGAAGTACCTGTCCCTCATAGCAGACATCATATGGATAATGACTTAGCTGACCTTCAGCTCTACATAAAAAAGACTTCCAACAAGACTTTTAGTTCCAAATGAAGTGAGTTAATACAAACACGCAAGTTCAATTCACTCAAGGCCCCTTCACCAAGCAGCAGAAGACAGAACATCTTACTTGGAGACCTCAATACAAAAAAATATGACAAGCATTCACATGCGTCCTCCCGCTCTCACAACCCTCACACCACCATCCCTTACCCCTCAACCACAACCCCTCCCCCCCCCCATATACACCCTTTCAAATTCAGAAACAGGTCTATATCAATTCTATTCTTAAAGCAAGCCCTGATTTTTACACCAGCCTGTGTGTACAACGATGACCACGACTGACCAGGTTTGGGATAGTGCATCTTGTCCGTGTCGAGCACCAGCGTCTCCAAGGCTCGGTTGTGACACAGCTGGACAGGAAGTGAGTGCACCTCATTGCTGGAGATGTCCAGGGTACGCAGGAAGCGAAGATCACAGACAGGATCAGGGAATTCTTTCAGTCGATTGTCTGTTGAGAGATACCGATTTGTCCACACATAGTTTACTTTCGTTCTACCAAAGAGTTTTACAGAACTTGCAACACAATAAGGTCTTATAAATGCCCAAGATTAAAGGTGTTACAAGAGAGTAATAAACACACAAAAAAGGAGGAGAAATTTTGACAATAGATGTTTGATAGGAAAGGAGGAAATCGCACAAGAACACCTGCCAACCACCTGCCTGGTAGTTTACATTGAGTCAGCATGATAACAGCCATATTTTGACATGAACAGGGGGAAAAAAATCAGTGAAAACAAAAAAACGCAGACCACACCAAAGCAACCATCAATTATCTACTATCAAATGGTAAAATGCAATACTAATACTACAGTAAGGCAAAATATGTTCGTTGACATTCCTGAAATCTATTAAAAGTATGCAAAACGTTTGGTAAGTATTTTACAGCGCTCGCAACAACATAAGGTCATATGAGCGCACTGAACACTTTGAACATTTTCAGTACGGTAGGAATTAATTTTGAATTTTGCTTGTGTGGCGGCCGAAGCCTACTCTTTTCGATTTTGGACCACCAAGGGATCTTTAACATGAGCAATTCGCACACATGACCTCTGAGATTTTTCACCCTTATCCAAGAAGGTTAGGTGTTATATTTTACCTACTGCAAGACCAGGAATGTGGCTGAAAGACAGCAGTAAGAAGGAGCTAAGGGGTAGCATTAGAAAGGCTGCAGAAAGAGTTAGTAGTCCAGAGGAGGCGGGTGGAAGGAGGGGGGGGGGGGGGGGGGGGTAGTGGAGACAAAAGCAGAGAACAGAACACAATTAGCGAGAAGGAAAGGAGGTGAAAGGAGAAATTCTTAAAGAAAATTTTCCGTCGACGTCAGGTTTCAAACCGGGGACCTATTGAAAGAGAGGGGAACACCATAAGCTCTAGACCACAAAAGCAAAACGTTACAATGGATAAAACATATATGCAAACAAAAACAGAGAAGCCTGTAAGTTGAATAGTGAGCTATTAACTTACCTGTAAAATTTTTAAAAACATGATAAAACTACATAAAAAGACATGAACACCAGCCAGCAAAAACTCCTACTCACGTTTCAAATTAAGGGTCTGTAGTGCCGAGAGTTTGCTGAAGGAATCTGGGAGGGACTTGAGCTTGTTGTGGGCAACATTGAGCACCTGCACAGGAAAACAAGCGGAGACCTCGCATTATTTTCATTTTTTTTCAAATACTTCACTACCGTCTTATGAAAAAAGATAAATGCAGATCTTCTTATGCCCCTATCAATACAATTTGGATCATTTAAGAGGCAGGCTTCGACCCATCATCATCGTCCAACTGGTTTTTCTACGTAGGATCTATTACCAATGTAAAAGGTTAAAGAACCCCCACCTTGTAAAACCAGTCAGATGATGGGAACCAACTCGAAAAAAGATGTACAAAACAGACATTTTGGAGTAAAGGTGGACAGATGAACTGAGCGAGCAGGACGGTCCAGTATATGATAGATACAGGACTTCAAGTGTGATGCGATCGAGAAGCAGAAGCAGAAGCAGAAGAAGAAGAAGAAGCAGAAGCAGAAGAAGAAGAAGAAGAAGAAGCAGCAGCAGCAGCAGCAGCAGAAGAAGAAAAAGGAGGAGGAGGGGGAGGAGGAGAAGGCGAAGAAGAAGAAGGAGAAGAAGAAAAAGAAGAAGAAGAAGAAGAAGAAGAAGACATTTTGGAGAGGAATTGTTGCTGGTCTCCCGCTCCTCAGGCCTAGCCCAGACAAAAGAAAATTTCCACTCGCCACACTGATGAAAAATTATTTAAATATGACGTTACTTGGCAGTGAAAAGAGACAAGAAAGCAAAAATTGCCTCATTTGCCTTGTCACAGCTTTGTGAACTCTTTTTCCATGAGGGGAGGAGATCTTATAGAGTTCTTTCATCTTTCTACTGGGATGTATCCCAGTAACATCAAGTTGATCCAACGGGCAGGGTTGACAAAGCTACCCTCCTAAATGATTAATATCATATATTTTATTGTATTGGTAGATATGTGAAAAACAATTTAAAAAATCATGATTTAACCATCATTCCCTTTCTCTTTCTCACCCTGGATCAAGGTATAGGCCACAAAACAAACACTTTCCACATTTCCCTATCCTGGGATAGCCTCTTGATGCTATTCCTTGTCTTCCAACTTTTCCATACATCAATTTCCGTGACTCTTCTCCAGGTTCCAAGTGGTCTTCCAATGCATCTTCGATTGGCCGATTTTTAACATTGAGAAAAAATTATACATCACTAAAGTTCAAATTCACTGTTCTATCTTGTCATATATAATATTATGGTCAAGTTTTTTATATTATCAATGGCAAAGAAGTGAACAAACAGAGTGAGAAGTCGCGGAGAGATACCTTTAGGTTGGTCAGACAACTGATCTCCTCAGGCAAAGTTTTGAACTCATTGTTGTGCAGATCTAGAACCTGTGAAGAAGAAAAAAAATACAACTTCAAGGACCATTTCGCTTTCAGTAAGAAAAGCTAAAAGAAGATACCCCCCCCCCCCAACTCTCTTCCCCTCCTCTCCTCAATCTCCAACCCTTTGTTGTTTTTTTATCTATCATTTTTCTCGCCCTCTCTTTCTCTCATCTGTGGTGCAAAATTTGGGCTCTTCACTTTGAAAGTAAATGTTATTATGAGTTAACTACACGAGGAGGTGAGACATTTCACACAGTATCTCCACCTTTCTGTTGAGAGGGAGTCCCACAGCTTGAGTTTACCCTGACAGGCACGGTGACAACAGCCTGTCAACAAAATCACCTAAAAAGTGCCCATGGGGGGCACAATGTATACACAATTATCCTCTCTCTCTCTCTCTCTCTCTCCCCCCTCTTCCTCTCTCTTTTTCTCTCTCCCCCGTCCCTCCCTACCCCTCCCCCCCCCTCTCTCCTTCTCTCTCTGGGCTATCAACAGAAAAGAGAAAAAAAATCACCTGAAGGTAGCTGAGCTCTGCCAACTCTGAAGATAGGCTGGACAACCAATTGTCATGTAGCAAGAGAACCTGGAATACAGAAGAAAACATTGTAAATCTGTCTGTAAATACTACAAGCAGGGTGTCAAATTCTTGATATAGACATAATATTTATGTGTGTACTGTAAACCACATTGCCATCCTGGGATCAATACTGGGATCAATAAAAATGTAAGTTATCTATTTTAATTTTATTACAACACTCTCTCAGGGCAAGCCATTCTCACACTATAACCAGCTGCTTGTGGCTTAAACGGTTCACATGATACCAAACATATCTCAATATGACTGATTTGAGCACGGAGGTGTGGGAGTGAGGCTGCGGTTGGGGGGGGGGGGGTGCTTATTGGGGCAGGGGCACAGGAAGAACAAATCGACAGCTCAGTGTAAGACTCTGTCATATGTCACTTTTCCTTTAGTTTTAGTAAGAGTTTTACGGCACTTGCAACACAATAAGGTCATATAAGTGACGAAGATTAGAGGTGTTACAAGAAAGCAATAAACATAAAAAAGAAGGAGGGAAGATCAGGACAAAAGATGCTTGATAGGAAAGAAGGAGCAAACCACACCAGAGCACCCGCCAACCACCCACTAACACTTTTCTAAATGGTGTACGGGGAAGTGTTACCGTAAGCAGTGAAAATACAGTCAAATGTGCTGTAACAACCACCTTTTCAAGACAATCACTATTACAAACTAACACTTTCCATTTGCCCCCTTGCCTTTTTATTTTTTTCTGTACAACAATGACTCTATCCAAGACGTCCAACCATCTAAGACAACCACTTTTCTCCCGACAAAGAGAGGCCATCTTGGAAAATTTCAACGGTAGTTTTTGCTTGCTGTCGGGAGCAAACAGGTTGAAATGTTTGAGTGATGGGTTCTATAAACAAGACAGCTAATCAGACAGCAAGAATGATCTCATAGCTTCACAGGAAGTGTTCTAGGTTAAAGATATATCAAGATTTTTAGTCAGAACATAACTAAAACTTAGGGCATTATCAGGAGCTTGTTTTCTGCCTTCAAACTGACTTATCTTATGTCTAGTAGGGTGTTACATCATCGTAAAACAAACATGACTAACCTGTTTTTGAAGCACTTTGCAGATTGCATAAACACCGGATGGAACCTGTACACAGCACAACAGCATTCCAGGGAGAGATGAAACAGAGCAATTATTCATTACAAAAACAACCATTTAGCATTGACATACAACTGACAGAAATATAGGGCTCTCAGTATCCTAAGAATCACACACATTCAAAATGTACAGACATGCGCCACCAGTATGACAGCAGGGAATTGATCGGTGAAGACAAACTAGGGTCCATTGTCTGCAATGGCATTTCTGTATCAAGGGAAAATCAGACCTTGCATAGTATAAACACGTTTTGAAATTTGATGCTGACGCTGGTGTAAAAAACCGCCCACATTAAAATTTTAAAGATTAAGTGGCAAGAGCCAAAGAGCATGGGTCATTTAATAATAATAAATCGCATTCATGCTGCGCATTTCCATTTTCTAAAGTATGCTCAATACACATTACATTCATAAAGATATCACATTTAAAAATGAACACCAAAACCAATGACTCACCTCACGCAGTTCACAGGACGACATGTCAAAGCGTGGCTCAGGATCTTGTTGTGCCTGGAGGCAAAAACAGACAGCTTATTTCCTAGACTGTTTGTTAAGTTAGTGTTTTAAGGCATTTGCAACACAATTAGGTCATACAAGTGCCAAAGATTTGAGGTGTTTCAAGAGAGTAACAACCACAAAAAAGGAGAGATAAGAACAATAAATGTTTAATATAAAAGTACAGTCGAACCTGTGAAAGACGGAATCGCAAGGGAGCCAGAAAAAAATTCCATCTTAGACATTTTCCATCTTAGACAAGGGAATTTAGGGGGAGATGGAAATGGGGGGGCAAGCAGTGATCAAAACTTCACACCTCTCAATTGCTATCCTGTCCGATAATGACATGTGTCAGTCTTACTTATCCAATTACCACCAGCGCTTGCCTTTCATAGGACCACTGTTTGACCTATTAAAAACAGAAAAGTTTGAACATCTTTGCTTCCACCCTTAGCCCCACCTACCGGTGTGACAAGCACAGTCAACCAATGCCACCCCTCACTGCCATCATGTAACAACTCTTTTGTTGGTTGGCCGTACGATCAGGGAGGCAGGCATTGGTCAATCTAATTTCACACCTCTGGCATCTGGCTACCCAGGAGAGTTTCCGTAGTGGCTCGCTACTCGAGCACTCTCATGGACAGTTGTGAGATTTCACACTTACACTACCCTGATCATCTGCAGCGCTCAGAGCTCACATGATGGGGTAACATCTTGGTGCCCCAAATTAAGGCGCCAACGGTAACATCTACCTCCAAATTGCACCCCTTTTCCCCTTCCTCGCCCAGTGGCATGGCCATGGCGTTAAGTTTAGGGAGCCAACGGAACCAAACTTGCGAGTTTTGTTTCAAATCAGGGCTGAGCGGGTAAAGCATTTTCCGTCTTAGACAGATGAAACCCTTGGAAGAGAGCCGATTTTTGTTTCCGTTTCCGCATTGGACAGGTTTTCGTTTTATACAGGTAATTATCAAGGGGGGAGCGGGGAGATTCCGTTAAGACAGGTTTCCGTTAAGGCAGGTTCGACAGTACATCAGAACTCAGTCCTTGTTAAAACAAAAGCATTAATTTTTAAACGTCTTCTTTTTATCTATACTCATTATCTCACAAAATGTAAGGACATATTACACAAAAAAATATTCTGCCAATTGTTCATTATTTACTGGCACACTATATTGACCGAAATGTCTCAGCCAGAGATGCGCAACAACCCCCACTCTTTCATTAAGTACTTGATACACATCAGATCTTATTGCCTTTTTCATAGCCTCTCTACTACAAAAAAAGGGGGTTTACAGACGTAAGGGGATGAAGACGGAACAAGAGTAATGAAATGGAAGAAAGAAAAGAGAAGACAACTATATTTACACAAAAAAATGAAGAGTGTAGGGTGCGGAGAGAGTTGAAAAGAGTAATGAGGCTGGAGGAGCCAGAAATCAAGGGGGAAGTGGAGGATGAGAGGATGGGGAGGAGGGGGGGG